AAACTGGTATGTGGCATTTGAAAATCTGTGAAATCTCTATTTTATTGTCTCATCATGGTCTTTCCTATGGATTCGAGTGCCGACACTGAAGAAACAATTGAGCCTGTGTCAGAAAAAGACCTCTCTAGCTTTGTGATCAAACACACCAAACACACTTGTTGTTCAGATGGATTCAAGTACATGTAGTGAGATAGACCTCTTTCTCATTATGACCACTTCTTCCATGAAAAGTTCATTCCATTTCAAACTTGTAATCTAAATCAGGTCTTCTCTCTGAAATATCTCCTTCAAACTTGAGTAATTGTTTCTTAATGGCTGAAGGACTGTTGTCTAACGATTGATAGCGCTGATAAGCTCCCACTCGCAAATCGTCAGAAACTGCAGGTGGTTCATATTGATCATTTCTAGGTTTGAGAAGATTAGCAGAAGGTCTTTGTTGATCGTATCTACTTTGAATACTTTTTGTCGATTCTGTGACATTTGGCTTTTGTGAAATCAACGTTGAAGAAGAAGGAATGGCCATCTCTGACTGCTGTAAACTCCTCAATTGTTCTTGTTCAAATTCTTTCAACTGTCTTCCCACAAGTTTCAAATGAGATCTTCGCATTGCTTGATATTCAATGGGTAATGGATTTCTCTTGTCAGCATCGAGTGATTTTAACATGGTGCTTTTATCAGCAGACGGAGCTGCCATCACCAATGGAGAACGACCTGTAGGAACATTGGTAAATAATTCTTCAGTTCCTTCTGCATAGAATCGATTGTAAGGTCGCCATCCTACATATGAAGATGATCGATGTTTGAATGCACCACCACCATTATTGTCATTCTCGTCCTCGTCGCCATCTATTCCTCGAACTGCTTTATCAATTTCATCACTCAAATACATGGCACTTCGTAAAACTCTTAAATCAGTCACTTTGCCTCCAGTGTCTCTGAAAAAGTCTTCGAGAGCTCTCTTTTGCTTTTCCTTGCTTGAAATTCTTTTTTTTGCTTTTTGTTGTTCGAGAGTTTGAGCGGTGAGACTTTCTTTGAAAGTGAGTGCTGGTGCTCCAATAAAGACATGTTTGACAGGTTCCGAAAGAAGATGGCTTAGAAATCGATAGGAAAGTAGACTGACTAGATATGCGATCAGAGAGACCTGTGAAATGAATTAATATTAATTATAATACAAGTGTGTGTAAATTGGAATATCGGAATGGATTTATCAAATCGTGCGAAATAATAATTTTAAAATTCAAAAGGAATTATTGTAAAAATTTTCCGATTACGTAGTGATCACCCAAAACAAAAATCCAATAATATATAATTGATAATTTCATTTCAATATATTTTAATTTTGAATTTGTCATTTCTCTGCATGTTCTTCTGGATAGATTTCACCTACCAAAACAGCCATTTTTTTTCAAAATAAAAGTCAAATTTAATGAAATTTGAATAAATAGTGAATTTGTCTCTTGTGTGAAATGCATGGATCAAGTTGTTGTTTAGTCAGGTCACATTACTTATTCCTCAGAGACTTCATATTGAACATGAATACGCTCAACTTCTTCCAATTCCTTCATAATACTTTGGTTCATGTTGTAATCGTAGGGTCCAAAAACTCCCTTATTGGAAATTTCACCACTCAAAATTTTCTTGGTGGCAATGGCACATGGATAACCAACAGTCTTGGCCATTGCAAAACCTCTTTCATCTCCAAAATCAACCAATTTAGCAACAATTGTTCTCTTCTTTCCTTCTGCAGTTTCAATGACGAACTTATTGTACATGAAGAGCATGTCTTTTTCTCCTTCTTTGTATTCCATCATTTCTAATAAGGTTTGAGAGAAGGTATCCAAAACATTTCCCTTAAATGGAGCAACCTTGTCACTGAATAAATCATAGAATTTGAATGCATGGAGAGCAGTCTTGGCCTTTTCAGAATTTGCATCCAAATTCAATTTTTTCAAAAGAGCACGTTCAAGTTCACTCTCTTCGGTGCTGTTTGCAGAAAGAAGTGTTTGTATAATTTCTCTCCATTGCTTGTCCTTAAATTCTGGTCTTGGAGTCAAATCAACAAGACCAGCACCAATAAAGAATTCAACAACCTCACAATTACCCTTATATCTCAAAGTTCCTCTCAACACATCATCAGCATATTTCAAATTGTAATGTTCCTTAAATGGAGTCGAGTCACGATTTGGATAACCTTCAAAGGTTGGGATCTTATCATCCAATTTCAATTCTCTTCTCGAAGACAACAATTTAGATGCCTCTACTTGTTGAAGTTGACCATGTTCATACCATTTGGCAGTATTTTGCAAAGCCATCAACACTCCTCTTGGAGACCAAGAGAATTTGTACTTCATTGGATTATCAATGTGATCAGGATGTGGCAAACCTCCACACCAACTATAAAAACTCTTAATCTTTCCACCCTTCAAATCTTGTTCTTCATGAACAATCTTGGTGGCAATCATGTGATCTATACCAGGATCAACACCAATTTCATTCATACAGGCCAATCCCAAATCCTTAAATTGCTGATCCAATTCCCGTAAAGCAGGTGAAATGTAGGAAGTTGTGACCATATTCTTTTGATGTTGCAAACAAGCTTTAGCCACCAAGACATGATACGAATAGGGAACCAATGAAATGGCCAAATCGTGTTGAGAGACCAACTCGGAGAGTTTATCCTGTTCATTCTCAATATCGAGAGCAACCTGAGCAGTACGAATGGAAGGCTCATGAGCATACTGTTCGCACATTTCCTTGGCTTTGGCTAATGTACGGGAAGCCACAGTAACGAAAATGTTCAAGCCATCACGAGTGAGGCTTTCCAATGTGGTGCCAGCAACAAAGCCGGAGCCAAGTAATAGAACTCGATGTTGGAAGGTGGACATGATGATGATTGAAAGAAACTGGATGATGAACAATTTAATTAAGAGAAATGATAGTATGAGTGAAAATGTAAATAATATTAATAGTTATAATAATAATTCAAAGTAGCAGCCACCAAATAATTCAATTGAAATTGATCAATCATGAATTGTATAAATCAATATTGAATATACGTTTCAGTAATCCATCCCGTAAAGAGTTCCACACACACGAAACAAAATTTGATCCGTTTGAAAATTTAAATTCATCACACCCAGTGAGGAGTGAATGAACGAACGTTCGTTCATCACCACCAAGGGTATACATTCAATAAGAACGACGTACTATTTGTTTAACAAACTCTTGATTTTTTCAGAAAGTTTGCAGGTCATTGACGTGTCTTGTGTCTCGACAATGCGTTCTCCTTCTCTCGGAGTTTTTCAAAAGCTCAATAAGGAAGCATCGACTTTTGGAACAGCAAAGCTTAAAGCCATGTCAGTCCTTTGTTATCATGCAGGAATTAAGGGAATAGAAATTAAATGGATGGTTCATGAGGTACACTTTTGATCTCTCTCAATAGAATAATAAAACTTAATACAACAATTAAAAAATATTTATTTCGAGTGATGGTTCAACCATGACGATTACCATCACATCAACCACTTCAAATGAAAAGTCAACAACAACAGTCATGGAAAATTGTTCGGAATCATCAAAGATTGTAGTCATGCGATCGAGTGAGCAAAATGATCATCATGAACATCTTGTTTTGGAAAAACGTCATGAACAACAAGAACAAAATTCAAGAGAAAATAATCATGTTTCTAACGCTTTTACTTTTGTATCGATTACTTTTGTTTTTCTTTTACTAATTATAGCAATTTGTAACGACTTATTTCCGAAAGAATCTTCAACAAACACTGACAAACTCACGATCGCTTCAATGCTTTTAGAAAAAGGAAATATTGCATTTCAAAATATGGAGTATGAACATGCAATCACATGTTACTCAAACGCGATTGAATTGACTCCAAATTTAGCTGATGCTTGGAGTCAAAGAGGACTTGCTTATCTTAAAGCTCAATCATATGCTCAAGCATTAAATGATTTTAATCATGCTCTTAAATTAGATTCAATACACGCAAACACTCAAAATTGTATGGGAGTATTACATTATTATGGTTATGGAGTTGTCACAATCAATTATGAGATTGCTTTTTCATGGTTTGAAAAAGCTGCCAAACAAGGACATGCAAAAGCTCAACATAATGTTGGCCTATTATATTATTATGGATGTGGAACTCCAGAAACCTACACGAAAGCAATTGAATGGTTCAAAAGTCAGCCAACCAAGGAAATCCTAACTCTCAATATTATCTTGGACACATCTTTGAGAAAGGTAATCCTACCGCATTCTTCAGATTCTTTGACTATTTGAGAGACCATTCAAAAGCGCTTAAATGGTATGAAAAAGCAGCAAATCAAGGTCACCATGAAGCTCGTTATTCAGTCGGTCATTTGTATTATAGAAATCAAAATTACACAATGGCACTTGAATGGTTAACAAAAGCAGCAAATCACAATCACTCACAAGCTCAGTACATGTTAGGAACCATGTACTATAATGGAGATGGAGTGACACAAAATTACACAATTGCTTTTGATTGGTTTTTCAAGAGTGCCCAAAAAGGTAATGCTGAAGCTCAATTAATGATTGGAAATATGTTTTATAATGGAGAAGGAACGAAGCCAAGTTATGTAAAATCGTTCCTATGGTTCAAAAAAGCGCAGAACAAGGAAATTCAGAGGCTCAATTGAACCTGGGATTTATGTACTTCCATGGATTTGGAGTGCGAATGGATTTCATAGAGGCCTACAAATGGATTAAATCTGCAGCAGACCAGGCCAATCTTAAGGCATTATTGCTTATTCCAGGCCAAATTGATCTGACCAAAGTTGGTAAAAAGCTGTGGAGCAATGAAGGGAGTAGCAAAAAGAAGCCCTATGTCATGCTGTAACTGTGACAGTACGCTTGTAAGCATTTCATAGTGTGAGACGAACACGAATTGAGCGAGCAATCAAGACTGTGACAGCAGGAGTCCACAGACAAACATGGTATTTCGAAGAGAGTTGATCCACGGCACCAAAGGAAGTTGAAAAATTTTAACCAAACATATGGACCAGAATTCATCTCGAAATCTCGAAGAGATTATTAGTCAATCAAAAAGATATTCTTCAATCTTTTCATTCGAGAGAAGATTATTTCAACTTGTTCAAGAATCACCGTATGCATCAGACATAGATTTCTCAACGTGTGAATTCTATTCAATAAGGAAGCATTCTTACTTTACTATTTTCCTAAAATAGATGATGGACAATGGATAACACACTCGTTCAGGTTCACCAATATCATTTCAAAGTTCAGAACTGAACCAACTCTCCGTTATGAACTTTTACTGTTTTAGAGAATTGCCTTTTGATAGGGTGAAATTGCCTTAAATACTTAGACTCTGCATTCACTCCTTCAATCAACAAACAAAAATCAACAATGGATTTCAAAACAAATAGTAGAAACTGTAGCATTTCAAGTGCTTCTCGTCATTTCCTCTTGTGCGTTCTTGTGATTTTGGCATCTCTCGTCCTCGCTGTCCACTGTCGAAACGATTCCATAAATCAGCAAAAGACTGAGAATGTTGTCACTCCTCGTTTCACCTTTGTGTTGCCTAAATGCAGAAAATTCCGTTGTCGTAGATATTGTCGACAAGGATTCTTGTTGGATCGTTGTGGATGCCAAAAGTTTGTTTATGCAGACGTCATCCTTGTCGTCATTTCTCTTGTCGTAAACGCTGCAAATTCGGTTTCAAGAGAGACAAATTTGGATGTCCTGTGTGTTTGTGTCAAGGAAGAAGATGTAAATCTAACCTTGTTGTGGGTTATAAAGTTGTAAAGTTGTAATTCCAAATAGAAGGATTTGATATAAATTAATTTCACTTTTCACAAAGTCGAAAAGCAAAGATTTCACTAATTGAGAGATTAATTTGTACTGTTTTTATAAATTACAATCAATTGTTTTTACTTGTTCGTGTCTTGAAATGCAGCCAAATCACTCTCTGCATTTTGTTTTCCACATGAATTAAATAATCCTCCAAAACCTCTCTTTGATTTTTGTGAACTTTCATTCTTGGAATTTTTCACAGGTTCTTCTTCAATCATTTCTTCGTGATCAAATTCTCCATTTCGATCCTTTCTCACTGTTCTCACAAGTGCATGGAATGCATTTTCAATATTAATATTGGCTTTGGCAGAGGTTTCAAAGAATTTAGTTTTGGCAAATTGTTTAGCGAATTCTTCTCCTTCCTTATAAGTGACAGCTCGTTCATTCGAGAGATCACATTTATTTCCAAGAAAGACGACTGGAATTCCTTCTTCTCCGACATCACGTGATCGTAACAATTGACTGTAAATATCTTGAACTTCTTGGAAAGAGGAAGCATCGGTCACAGAATAGACAAGAACAAATCCATCACCTTCTCTCATGTATTGATCTCTCATGGCAGTAAATTCTGTAAAATGTGTGAAATGTGAATGGTTATTATTGTGTCAATGGTTATTATTATTATTTGTGAATGATTATTATTGTGTCAATGGTGACAATAGGATTTGTGTGAATGATTTTAATATTTTGAAATGCAATTCTTATTACAAACCTTCTTGTCCTGCTGTATCAAGTAAATTAATTTTAACAGGTCGAGAATCGACGGAACATTGTTTGGTGTAGGCATCTTCGATGGTTGGATTGTACGAGTCGCGATATTCACCTTTGATGAATTGGATGGTAATGGATGATTTTCCGACAGCTCCTGTGCCGAGCATGACAAATTTCATTTCGTCTCGCTCCGAGAGTTCGATGGTGGATGAAGAGGCCATGATGATGATGTTGTTGTCAATGTTGATAGTTAGGTTTGTTTGGAAATTTTTTTTGGTTGTATTGAAAATGTTCAGTTGGTTGATTAGTGACAGCCCTGTCCATAGTTCAAAGTTCGAGACGTACTTCTGACACCAAGTTCAGAGTGAACCATGTCCACTCTCTGAGAGAAAATCCAAAGCTCGAAACAACATGTCGTAACGGATGAGGAATTTAAGAGCATCTTCATTGGATTCAAACTATGGATTCGTGTATTAATCTGAATCCGATTTTAGAAGCATGATCTCACGTGAGAGGATCCCAACGCGTTGATGGCATGATTTTCATTGATGCAAATGGAAATATGATGATTGACCCCTTTGATGTGTTATGATAACATTCAACCTCATCCATAAAACGTTCGAGAATGTGTTGGAGAGAGGATGATGAGATAGATTCGAGGAATTAACCGACAGTCGTTCACCTCCTCCTTCATCATCATGATCTACAACTAGGGGATCTTAGGTCAAAAACAGATCAAGGGCATCTCTCTCCATAACAAGAACCGGTTATTCTTTGGGAGAGAGAATTTCTGAATTAAGTGGGCCCACTACAACTTGTATTGACTCGTAATGATGTTTGCTGTTTGTTCAATCATGATCCTCCAGTTATGAATATTTACAATGAACGATGAAGACTGAAGGATATCTCTTCATTTGTTTTTTGGATAAATTCTTGACAAAATCATCTTCTCAAAGATTCATCCAGTAGTGATCAGCATTTTGGCATACAATGATAGAAACATTCAGGTAAAAACAAAACACATCATCTGTGGCTTCCTTCAAGATCATCATCATCAACATCATTGACTGATTCAACCTAACGTCAAAACGAAATGCTCAGTGAAATTGCAAGCTTTAATCAAAGCTACAAAAGTGCAGATGAGTCATGCGTTTCACGATCAAGTCAGCCCTCAGTGACAAGAGAGTTCAACAGCTATTTGACAACAAGCATACATTCTCTACAGATTAATACACCACGATTAGGATGGAGATGGTATATTGGAACATTAATACCACAAATTATTTATTTGTGGTGCGTCATAATGATGCCAACAGCGAGGAATTATAATTGGGGCAGTGTTGGTTCTCTTATATTCGACGTTTTAAACTTTCCATTAACTTTTTTGTTCACTGGTTGGGGTATACGGAAGGAACAGTAATTGTATGCTTAATATTTACGTTTGTTGGATTGTGCTATTTGGTTTGGATGATTTCATTATGGGCCATCAACAACGCTCATAACCATCTGTCAAAAGTCAAAGCAGTACTCTACGTGCTAGGAATAGTTTCTCAAACTCTCTCCTTTTTTTCATTTATGCAATGGCTGGATTCTATGATTGCAGTAGGACCCACATTATTGTTGAAACTCTAGAATTAACGTTGAATAGGTTTCCATCGGTAGCTTGCAATGGATCACAAAACACTGTTTTGATGGCTCTCTCCATTGTCGCCACTTTATGCTTTTTCATTTTCGTTCTCTTCTCACGACTCATGACACAAGATTTGCATCCACTGAGTTTCACTCCTTTGGTTGCCTCACATCCATACCTTTTATTATTGCTTGATATCATTTCAATGGTTGGTCTTGTTGGAATGTTTGCCATTCCAATCGAATACTCGTATGCTGCTGTTGCCTTCAATACTCTTCTGTCCTTATTCTTTTGTTGGCAACAGTGAAAAGCTGTCCCTTCTTTCGGCGGATTGATAACTCTTTAATGACTGGTGTGGCATGTGCAAGGTTAGGAGCTTGTGTAGGAACACTTGTGAATACAATTGTGAATCAAAAGAAAGATCTGTATTTAGGACTTGAATTAGGTGTTGTTTTAACATTGGGACTTGTAATTTGCGGATTCATTGCCGGCTTTTTTGCAACAGAGGCCTATTTATATTTCATCATAAAATCAGTGAGAAGTAGAATTTTGGAAGAAATTGAACTTCACATTGAAAATAGCCCTCAAGGAGCGTCGCTTTACAACGACAAGAAAGCAATTCTCACCGTTTTAGATAATAAGGCGTTGATAATCTTCCAAGAAATGATAGAAGAAAAGAAATTATCTTATTTACGTGACTTTTTCAAATTTTGTAACAAGTCATCATTTACAACGGTAGTCACAAGACAGGAAGGTGGTGACGTTGTACTCACTGAGAAGGATTTAGCAATGACTTTTTCAAAGTTATTCCTGTTAAGAAAATCGTCAGATATGGACCTACTCTATTTTGCTGCATTGCTGATGGGATATGATCACAGGAATGAGGGAAGTTTTAGTACCTCACAAGCAATCGATCTAATGAATCGAGTATCAAGAAACACCAAGAATTTTCTATTTCGAATGGTTGTTCACTATCGAATCAAGGAAATGCAGCATTACTCTTCAGAACATAATATTATTGAAGATGTGAACGATTCTGACTCGAAAGTACAAAGTGTGAAGCTTGCTCAAGAAACATTACTTAGTTTGCATAGAGACTTTTTCAAAGAAATGATCAGCGATCCTGTGAAGACGAGCAGTCTTGAAAAGATAACCAAAAGATGACAGAGGTGACTAACGAGTGTGATCAATTGTTCAAAGAGCTCCTGGTGAACAAGAAGAATACCACATATATGAGAATGTATGCATCCTATGTAGAAAATTTACTGTTCGATAAGGAGCTGGCTCAAGCAATTAACATGGAGGCAAGTCAAATGGAGGAGGAACAACGCTTAGCACAATATGTTTCCTTCCGTAAAAGTCTCTCTCCCACCAACTTGTTCCAACGAATGATAATAACCAGTCATTCAATAAGAAATACAAATCCTTTGTAGAAAACAACCCTCAAAACATGTCCATGTATGAGCAAGATCACAACCAAGGCCAAGAAATGCTCGATAATTTAGAAAGCACAAGTTCCGTTGGATTTGAGTACGAACAGAAAAAGGATTATCTTTTTAGAAATGCATTGAAAACTAGAGTCTCTGATAGAACGATATTTTTTTCTATATCCTTTTGTGTATTGCTTTGATTATTGGAGGAATTGTTCTGCACATTATAGATAGTGCTCAAATCAAGAAAAATATTGTTAATTTGAGATATGTCTGCATGCCTCAAACCGCTCCACTCTCGATCATGAGAAATATCAGAAATATGCAAAACTTTATTAATGTTTTCCTGAATTATGGATACAATTGGCCTGCATACGATCATGAATTCCCTTTGCCAAGCAAAAGGTAGGTAGAAGATCTTTCTTTGGACAGAGCATGAACAGAAATGTAATAACGAATTGTCATGCATGAACATAGGAATATGTGAATTATTTTTTGAAAGACTCTCAAATGACAAGACCATTATGGATGAACTGATTGCATTGGGTCAGGCCATTCAATTTGATGCAGCTACTTATACGGAGTACGGAAAAAGCATGTACACGACCTACGTTCCTGGTTTTGAATCGATACCAGAATTGGGGAAAACATTTACAGGAACCCCACAGCCAAGAAATGTCTCTATTATTGAGATTACGAACTCTATTCTCAAATATACCCAGCAGATAATGAATGAAGATTTTCCATATCCATATCTAAATGATGCTGTTGACATGAACAGTCTCAATACAACACTTGCCAGAGAAGTTATTACCAAGATTATGAATTCTACATTTATGGAATCTTTTTCATCATTTAGTTTCATGTATTTGTGGATCAACAAAATTCACTTTAGTGAAATTTACAAAGGATTTTGTGATATATATGTCGAAAAATGCAAAGATTCTACCCAACACTTGATTTTACAGATCGAAATATACTTTTTGTTACTTTGGGATTGAGCTTTGTGGTTGGATTTATCCTCGTGGTCATCATTTTCCAGAATCAAATGTATTTCAAAAGATTGGTGAAACTGCTCGAAAAACAAATGACAAAAGATATGATTGGAAAAATTTATCATACTCTCAGCAAGAAGACATGTGTTGAAGCGTCGCTGGACTCCACAGTTGTTTACAAAGCATTCAGATCAAAATATGCACCTATCGTGATAATTTGCTTGTTGTCCTTGCTCGTTCCCCTCTGTGTAGGGTTATTTTATTTGGAAACTTTGAATAATGCTAATAACGCCTTATTTACTTTTACTAACGTAGGGCTCTCTTCCAATGTTATTGGTCACATGCAAAGAAACTCGTTTTATTTAGGGAATTATTCACCAATTTTGGCTTGAAGAACTTTGTTGACACCGGCAATGTTAAATATGGGAACAAATATTTGTCAGAATATGAAAGCATTGATCAATTGTACAAGTTGGTTCGATATGAGACTGATATGGTAGCTGCAAACTGGAATGAGCTAATTTATGGAGATGTTACCAAGCCCAATGATGATCCTGTCATAGGGTAAGTATAGCTCACAAACCTTTGCATATTACTAACGTTCACATCAATTTTATAGATTATATCCTTCTCTGGACAAGCTGCTGAAGAGTGGTGTTGCATCCAATTGTACAGAATATTTATCGTCACACAATATGACATTTAACTTGAACACAAATATTCAATACTGTTTAGGAATTGAGAAAGTAATGACCGATTACCTTACTGAATCTACTGAATTTTGTGAACGAACAAGAAATGTGTATCTCGCCCAACTCAACTCGTCCCAAAATTTGGATCCAACAGAAATATTTATGGAGCATAATTTTGTCAGCATGATTTCATATCCTCTCACTGACAAGCTTGTCATTTACATGAATGAATTTGTAAGAGTGTCTGGAGAGTTGTCACTTGTGATGTTACTTATTTTTAGCAGTTGTGGACTACTTTTGATCTTCATTTTTGGTAAAATTTTACATTCCATGCTCAAGAATGCCACAGATCATTATCAGCAGTCTAGAATGCTGCTGAATTATATTCCCATTGATTTTGTGGATCGAAATGAGATTCTTAGAAATCTAATACTTTATCATCAATTTCCTAATCCAATCTTGCAAAAGTTTTCAAATCGCAGAATACATCCAGGTAGCTCTGAAGACGAAGGCACAATCTTTAAGGGCGTTTCTAACATCATTAACTCTAACGTTGATGGATCAGCGATTATCAATGAACAGGGAGAGGTTGAGCTGTGCAATCCATCTGCATTGCGAATGTTTGGCCTCTCAAGTGTTGATATTTTAGGAAATTCGATATACAGCTTATTTTCTTCTGGAGAGTCTCAAACTCAAGTCAAGAAAGTAGTTGCCTCTCTCTTTGAACAAAGCAAACGATCAACGGATGGGTCAGCTCACGAAACATTCGAAGTTGAATGCGTGCGTAGGAATCAAAGCAAATTCCCAGCGAGACTCACACTGTTTACAACTCGTGTTTCACAAAGAGGAATTATCCTTGTGATTACCATCAAAGATATGACTTCAGAAAAGAAACAACAAACCTTGTTAAACGAGGAGAAGAAGAATTCGGAAAATTTACTAAAGAATATTTTACCTGAAGCGGTGGGAAATCGATTGAAACAAGGAGAGACGTTCATCGCAGAAAAGCTTGGAGATATTTCTTGTTTCTTTAGTGACATGTAAGTAAGAAGAGCTCTTCATTATTGTTTTATTCATAGCATTTTCTGTTTCTCTGTTTTCGTGTTTATATTTTTCACTTTGATGTTTCCGCTTGTTCATACTTATTAGGGTTGGGTTCACAAATTTCAGTTCTGGAATGCAGCCCACTGAATTGGTAAAGATGCTCAACATTATAGTGAATGGATTTGACACCTTGGTGGAGATGTATCACTTGGAAAAGATTAAAACCATTGGAGATGCCTATTTTGCAGTAGGAGGTTTGCATGGTGCAGCGTCGTCAGATCATCCTGAAAGAACACTACGCTTTGCAATGGACACTTTCAAAGTCATTCGAGATTTCAACGATGGCAAACATGGAATCACTTTAGAAGAAGGTCATTTGTTGAATATTAGAGTGGGCATCAATACTGGTCGTGCAGTTGCTGGTGTGATTGGGAAGATCAAATTTGCCTATGACCTGTGGGGAGACACCATCAATACAGCCTCTCGAATGGAATCGACAGGAGTTCCTGGTCGAATTCAAATTTCAAGATCGACCTATGAACGAGTGTACGATCTAGGTTATGAATTTGAAGAACGAATGGTGGAGGTGAAAGGTAAAGGTAAAATGCAAAGCTATCTGTTGAAGGCCAAGCATCACATCAATCCCTTACCAGAACACACCAACAACACCAACAACCCCAACAACAGTTACAGTAGTGGTGGTGATGATGATGACTCTCATTTCATCCAAAGTAATGAACATGATCAGAGTGAAAACAACAGTTGTGTCAACGTTAACAACCATAATCAAACAGAGTTGAGAGATGCAGAACAGAGTGCCATGACCAGCTCGTTAGAATTTAGTTCCGTGAGAGTTGTTCGGCACTGATTTCCCCTTGTCTATAAAGTTGTAAACATTCGCCCAATACGGAGAAATTCGAATATTTCCATATAAAGAACGGGAATTAAGAAAACACTTTCAAAAAAATTTCCACATCAAGAGAGCGAAAGTTTTGCATCCTCTTCTCTCGAACATTTTGATCGGACACAACCCTCTTCTCTAGCCGAGCCTCTTCTCTCTCTTGAATCTTGTTATTATTGATCGACTCCACTATCAATCAATGGCACCCAACGACAATACTGCCCAGCATCGCCGTCTTCAGGTTCATTTGAATCACTTGATGGGGCTTCCTCAAGTGTAAACCCTGAGGAAATGCTTCTTCACGATCAAACCTATGGAATTCAACGAAAATTGGAGAGAAATGATACCAGTGCCACTACATCATCCTCTCTTGTATTGGAACATAACTTTACAAAAGCAAGACAATACGGATCCAACGGAGTCGATGTTGAGACTTTAAAGGCTTTCTTGGATGGTAAATATGCTGATGTAAGTACTTATGAATCAATGCTGTTCATAGATGTATTATTTCTCTCATCATGATCATCCTTTGTTTTCCTCTCTTTGAATTCACTTTATCTTGTTGAAACATTGACATGATCATCACAACAACAGACCAAGGAAAGAGTGAGACAAACATTGGCAAAGGAAATTTCCCTCACTTCTTTGACTATGACACTTTGCATTACCAAGAAGCCCGTAGAGTGTTGATGGGATGGGCAAAACCTTTGCCGATGAACTTCCATTTGATTTATTGAATACTCTCAGAAATGATTATGGAAGATTTGTTGCATGGTTTGAAGCATTTGGTCATTTCAACACTTCACTTTGTGTCAAGATGGCTGTTCAATACTCATTGTTTTGTGGTACCTTGGCAAACTTGGGTACAGATAGACATCACGAATTTGTTAAATTGGGCCAAAGACTTCAAGTATTGGGTTGCTTTGGTATGACAGAAAAGGACACGGTTCAAATGTCCGAGGTATTGAAACAACTGCTACCTACGACCCAAAGACTCAAGAATTTATTATCAACACACCAAATCCAAAAGCAATGAAGACATGGATCGGAGGTGGACAATTTTGTCACTACTCTGTAGTTTTTGCTCAACTCATTTTGAATGGAGAAAGAAAGGGAGTTCATGTTTTCTTGGTTCCAATGCGTGACAGAAACACACAAAAGTTATTACCTGGAGTTTATGTTGAGGATGTTGAATACAAGTTAGGATTGAACGGAATTGACAATTATTCCTTCGGATTTAATAATGTTCGTATTCCTCGTACTAATCTCCTCAACAGATTCAGTGACGTGACTCCTGACGGTAAATATATCTGTAAATTCAAGACAGAATCACAACATTTTGGTGCCACCGTTGGAGAATTGAGTGGAGGTAGAGTCGTCATTGCAGGTCTTGGCTCTGCTTGTGTTAAATCCTGTCTTGCTATTGCTGTAAGATACGGCTTTACTAGAAAACAATTCGGACCACCAGGAAAGGGTGAAATTTCAATTATGGAATATCCATCTCACTACACTAGATTGATGCCTTTGGTTGCTAAAACATATGCCTTGTCATCTGCATTGTCCTATGTTCGTGAACAATATCATCACAAGCACAAGAATGCAGAAGCTAATGCTCTTGGACACTGTTTGACATCAGCCATCAAGGTTGCAGGCAGCTTCCATACCATCAACACTGCTGACATTTGTAGACAAGCATGTGGAGGTGCTGGTTTCCGTGCTCCAAACCTTATTTCTGGATTTTTGAGAGATACTCACGTCTTTGTTACATTTGAAGGAGACAATCAAGTATTACTCCAACAAGTTGCCAAGTACCTCATTGCTCAATATGCTCAAGCTGTGAAACAAGGATGTTTCTGTGGCACTGTTCTTGAATACTACAAAGATGGAAAGGTAGAATTTAATGGAGAACAAGATTTGACATGTCCAAAATATCAACTCTACTTGTTCAGAGCTAGAGAGATTAAGATGGTAGAAGAATTGATTAAGAGATTGAGAGATAGAGAAGGAAAGGGTGAGGACGAATGGGAGGCTTGGAAGAATGAAATTGTGTTTGCCAATGAACTTGGTATGGCATTTGCTGACAGAATGGTTCACGAACAATTCTTGAAGGCCTCTAACTTGTGCAGCTTCTCAATCTCCAATACTCTCACTCTTTATGCAAGTTGAATGGTTTGACACAAATTCAAAAAGCTTTGGGTTGGTTAGTTAGCAATGGAGTATTGTGTCCAAACCTTGGAAAGAAGGTTGATTCACTTGTTGTCTCTTACTCCCAAGAGGTCAGCAAGATTGCTTTGGGTTGATCGATGCATTTGCTATCCCCAGTCAAATGCTTCCACCAAAATGGGATCTTAGCGATTATACCGTC